TTTCAAGAAACAAAATCCTTTTATATTTCAAAGTTGGTCTTTTTTTTGGCAAAAGATAACTTAATTATTAAGAGAACTGAGAACTAGATACAAGTTCACCATATCAAAGGCTACACTGGGGTGAGACTCAGAGTTGAAATCGCGCTTACTAGTGGACCATTTCGCTAACCCCCCAAATTGGTAGACTCCATACACAACAATGTTGCACCTGCTACTAAGAGGGAAATTAAAACGCAAAACAGAGTTCTGAAAAGATAAAAAATCAAAAGAACAACATAATCCAATTTGTCCATCCACTGACAAGGGAATAGTGATTTGACCAACCTCCGCTAAAGGTACTTCATTCTTGTCCATGCATTCTCTTGCTACTGGCGGTGCTGCCCGGGCAACACCGCCACCTCCAAGTTTTTTGGAGTTCCTTCATCCACATCCATGCAAGCTTGTACCCCTTCCTCGCTATCCTTTGCGGTGGCCGGTGGCCCTCCGCTTTCTTGGTACTTCTTAAGTTGTGGCAACCTCCTTCCCCTTTGACAACAGACCTTCCACCATGTAGCTTTCATATTCCTTAATCCCATTATCAGACTCAACTTTCTCTTCCTGTCTACCTCCTGGCTTGTTATTGCCAGGAATAAGCCATCTATTACCCGGATGCGATCCTCCCCGCCTCATATCCGCTCATAGCCATGGCCCATACGGCTTCTCCCCGATCCCTATGCCACTATGCGAATTAGCTGGACAAAAGCGGTCGGCATGCCCAAGAATCCCACACAGAAAACAGAAATTCAGAAGTCTTTCATACCAAAAATTTGCCCAGATCCAACTATCTCCCTCATGTCTAACTTATAGGCGTTTAGTCATAGCCATTGTGATATTCAGAGTGACTCTAATACACAGGACCAACCTTTGCTTTCCACCGAGAGAGCCCTCATCCACTTGCACAAGCGAACCGATGCTATTAACAATTTCACGAGCCGTTCTTGCCGTCATATAGCTTAAGGGTAGATTGTGAATTTGAACCCAAAAATCTGCATGCCCCAATCGTCTAATAACCACAAGGTTATGCTCAAAGGACCAAGGCCCTTCATTAACAACTCTGTCGAGATCTCCTTCACGGTAACACTATAATAAGAATTTCGAGTCCTCAATTTCATCGATAGGGACTCCCTTGACTGGTCGCCAAATCATAGCCATTGTTTGGCAAAAGGAAACAACACTAACAGGCTTATCAGAAAAAACTATAGCCATAACTGCTAGATTGAAGCCCTCCGATCTGTAGTCCCGTCTGCATTCTCTTCCGGGTCAGCCGCTAGCACCAAACCCCTATTTTCTTCCTCAGCAATTGAGAGCATACTAACATTATTCGAAATCATTTCCATCGTTGCACAAACAAGACCACAAACTCAAAGCAAAAGAAAACCACCAAACTATGAAAACAATTCGAAAAGTGCACTGCTATTCACAAAAAAAAAACTCCAGCCGCTTACAGAGCCAGAGCCAGTGAACAAAACTTGGCCAAATTGAGCCGGAAGCAAGACACGAGACCAAAACGCCCGGAGAAGATAACGAACGATCGAACAAACTAAGAAAACACAAAATCTCAAAAACCTGGTCGCGGAATGTGAAACTCCCTGATATCGTCGGACTCCTTCATCGCATTGAGACTAGGCATGGATTGGGCCCAGGCCGGGCCTAACCGGGCTTTTTGGGAGATAATTGAGGCCCGTAACTGTAATACCCTGAAAATTTGAGAGAATTTGAGAAGTAATTAAAATTGTGTTTTGTATCGTTTAGATGGTCTTGGGATAGTTTACTATGGTTGGTTTTATGTTTCAGACCAAGGAGAGGTGCAAACGGGGAAGACACGGAGCAAAAACTAAGGTTTGGGGCGTCTGGGGGTCACGCACGGCGTGCGTGGGGTCACGCACGGCGTGTGTGGCATGAAATTTGAGCGTAATAGCTACTGCCAGACACGCACGGTCGTGCGTACCTGATTTGTCCTAGTTCGACCAAACTTCGGAAATTAACTATAAATACATCCCTAATCCAATTTTCCTCATTCCAAAAACCCTAGAACCGCCTCTTCAAGCTCTATCTCTTCCATAACTTTAATATTAACATATCCAACACGATTTTTGAGTCCAAGGGCGAGATCAAACGATCCAATCTCCCGGTAAGCGTTTTTTATGCCTAATTCGCATCGTTCATCTGTTTTCTTGATTTCTTCCTCCTAAATTATGATCCTTCAACCATATAAATTCATAGGTACGTGTGAGTGACTCCTCAAACTAGGTTTGAAGTTTAGGATTCGTTGCTAGCCTCGAGGTAAGGACTATTGCAACCAAAACTACTCTTTTGCCCCTATTATGTATTAATTAGGGTTTGAGATATGATTTGAGATTTTCTATGAACTTTTGTGTGTGATTCGGATATGATGGACTTGTTTGAGTATGATATGATTTTCTGGGAATTTTGGAACGTGTGAATTTTGAGTAACTAATTATTTTAATTACTATAGTCGAAATTGTGAATTGTGTGAAATTGCCACACTTGGAAAATTGTGGAGATTGTTTTGAGACAAATTATATATTCTTTAAATGTAATAATTTGATGTGAATATTTACATATATATCTTATGGAGTTAGAACTACCCTTATTGGATTATTTTGAACATGAAATAAATACTATTTTGGAACTAGCTTTGGGGAAACCCCTAATTTGAGAACTATGACTTTGAACTTGATATGCTATGCACTGTTGCTTTGAGATAAGAATTTGATTGAGATTTTTGAGAAAGTATTTGAGGCCGAGATCAAACTATTTTGACAAGAACTATGAACAACGATTTCATGATTGAGACTTGTGAGTGTCCCACAGAGAAACCCGAGATGCTAGTGAGTTAGGGCTACTACTACCTTGTGTGAATTGTTGAGACTTGTGAGTGATTCGGTAGACATCCCGGACACTAGGACACAATCATCCTTTTCTTTTGAGATGGTAGGAGTAGTTCCTAATTTGCTTTGTGAGGATTTAATCCTATTCGTGAGTAGTCAGTAGACATCCTGACTACTTAGACTTCTTACTACTCGGAGGGCTTGGAATCCCTTTTAGAGGGGTGCACACTTAAGGTAGATGTCTAGCTTCCATTATCTGTGACCGATGGGATCTGCAATTGCGGGGTGAGTCGTGGGGGCTGCGGTGACCCACGTACTTGCTAGGCTCGAGGAATCTTGAGTTCTGCCCATCACCTGAGAATTAATTGAGGCTTGAGAAACTATTGCTTTTGGGGATGTACTTGAGAATTGAGATTGTTTTTTTTTTAAAGAAATGTTTTCCTATATCACTTATTATTATGATTTTATGATTCATGAGTGTGGACTGTTTATGAATGCTCTTGCTCAAGGTATGATGGCCTTGGAAAATCACTAGTATTTTGTTAAGAAGGAACTAATATTTTTATTTAAGACTAAAGAGTATTTTGAAAAGCTATTGATGTTAGACTGTACTTATGTATAAAAACTACTTTTACAAATTATATTATTTTACGGGGTTGGGTAGGTCTTACTTAGCTAAAAAGCTAACTTTGGTTTCTTTTATTTTTGTTTGTTTTCTGCACCTGATTTGTGCAGATGATGATGAGTATGCTTGATGATGAGAGCTGCGTTAGATCACATAGTTTATTAGCTATTTAATCACCTAGTACTTTATATTTCCGTTTTGAAGACATGTAGACATTTAAACTGTTTTTGAGATTTCAGCACTTTAGTACTTGGATTATTTTTGGATTGTGGTTGAGCCTGTGCATCCGGTTAAGAGATAGCCGGATGTGGCGATAACACCCATCGACTATTTTATTCTGCTGCAATTGAGACTCTTTTAAATTTAAATGTTATTTTGGGAAATTCCTCTATTCTTGCTATAATTAGCCTCTATTATGGGTATAAATTTGGGGGTGTTACAGGAACTGGCCCGGTTATCCACCGGGTCCGGGCTGGGCCTCGGGCCGGTTCCTATTCTTTTGTTGCTTTTCTAATTAACCCCCGACCCCCCCCACCCCCTCACCCCCAAAACACCCATCCCAACCCGTGAAAATAAAAAAAAAAATTGAAAATAAAAAATAAAAAAGCCCGAATCAGGCCCGGCCGGGCCGGTTCCTAATTTGGGTGACCCGAGCCCGCCCAACTTAACCCCCGGGCCGGGCCTACCCGAACCGGTCTCTGGTGGGCCACCGGGCCGGGCCGGTTCCAAACAGTGCCGGGCCGGACAGCCCGGAACCGGTCCATCACTAATTGAGACAGCCATGGGAACTCTCCCGTCGATCCATCCCGCCGTCAGACATGCGGCGCTAGGGTTTTTGCATTTTGATAAAAAACAGTTCGAGGCTTCTTTTCTCTCAAATGATGTCGATTTGTTACATTCTAGTGTGAGTCCCTTCAAAATCGCTCTTATTCTCATGCTTTTATGAAAATCAACTAAATTGTTCCTAACGGCTGTACTAATCCTATCTTCAGCTCACGACAAACTATCAACTTTTCAATCTGTCAAAACTGCACACAGCTATACCATATGAATATATGATGCTATATTACTATTTGAAAATTTCTATTTTGCACACACACTGACACACATCTCATTTAGGAAAACAACTCATTTAGAAAACACAGACAACTCATTTAGAAAAAAACAATACTAACTCCGTAACTTAAAAATCTTCCTATTTCAAAAGTAGATAGATTAAGAATAGTGAAAGAGAATATGAATTATTGAGGGTATGATGGGAAGATAGTGGAATAATATGATGGAATGTAGGATAAATCCAAAAAAGTAGTTGTAATAGTATTTTATTTTCAGAATTATTGAGGGTATGATAGGAAGATTTAGAAATGGGAAGATTTTTTTGTTACGGGCGAAAAAGGAAAGTGAGAAGATTTTTATGTTACGGAGGGAGTAATTTTTTGAGTAAAGTGAAGAGTGTGACAAGCGTCCAAATTTATGTAGTAATGTAGTATTTAGCTCACCTTTGACCTTTCTCATCATTCATTCAAGAATACAATAATAGCTTCACTCTAGGCCAATTTAAAACCCAATACCGCAGAACAAAGGAAATGCGAAGACTAGTTTTAAAAAAAGGCGATTATTCCAGTACCTTTGACAAATTTGAAGGTACCGTACCGGTCCACTAAATATATGCCATGTGTACTTCATTTACAGCTAGGAAATCTCATTGAATCGACTCATGTTCTTATTACCAGTATTCTCTTTCTCTTCTGATCCTTTCTTTATAGTTTATACGCTTCTATATTCTCAATTCTGTCGTTGCATCAATCGTCTTCTCTGTACTGCTATCTTGGCTAAATAATCTTTAGTTTTAGCATGGAAGAAAAGTTGAGGGATAAAATAGGCAATCGCAACATGGAGATGCAGCTAGAGCATAAGCATAAGTGCAAGATCTGAAATCTAATACGTACGAGTAGTAACTAGTACGTATGAATATACTGGAAAGGAAGTCGCTTCTCTTGTGATCTCTGCCAAAGCACAACTAGGAGGCTGATTGAGCAGCTAAAACTTGATAGTATTATCCAAAAAAACATATAGAAGTATAACAACTCTAATCATCTCCTCCAAAAAGATCAAAGCACATCTCCTCGTCGGTATCCTCTTCAACCTTCTCTTCCTTTTTCTTCTCTTCAGCAGCTGGGGCAGCCCCACCGCCACTAGAAGGTGCAGCAGCAACAGCTGCCACAGCACCAGCACCATCACCACCACCGCTTGGTACAGAAGCTAATTTCTCCCTTCCAGCTGCAATCAACTCAGTGATATCTTTCCCTTCAACTTGAGACAAGAGCAACTCAAGCCTACTGTCATCGGCCTCGGCGCAAACTAAGAAATCAGAGTTTTGATGTTAAAAGTAATGACAAGAATACAGAAGGACTAGAGTATTGCACATATGAAACAAATGAAGATTAGGATGTTAGCCAGCCCCTAATGCTTATGGAATTAAGGCTTGGATGTTATTGAAGAACAATCGACCATACATCAAACAGGTTGGAAGCAAATGTAATCTTTTAAGAGTTGCAGCACTTTCATCTATATCTACTGTTTTTTCATAAGAAAGGCAAGCTAAGTGCAGCATATTTTCGAAATTACTCGAGTCAGTGAGTAACAAAAGAAGAACAAGGACATACAATGGACTTTATTTAGTAGTCATTAGAAACCATGATTGACAGAATAAATAGGATACAGATAAGTAAATAAGTTATTCATACAACCCAGCATGTAAATAACAAATGCTACAAGTATTTCTTAAACCTATCGATGTAAGAAAATGCTCATGAAAAGGGGAAAAATCCAAGGCAAGTTGAACTCTTGTGTTTGCTTTCGCATAATGCAAAGGAAAAGAAATCATTCCTAATGCTTCAGATGTTTAACAAGATGTATAAATTCCTAGGTTTCTATAAAGTTTCGCCTTTAATGTCCAACCTGATTTCTTCTCCTAGCAAAATCCAGGTTCCAGTGCTTCACAGAAGCCCTAAGTGACAAAGAACTGGACTCGAGTCCACTCTTTCGCCCAAGAATTGTCTTGATTTATTAATCACAAAATCCTCTACTTCGATCCAATTCACATGCGATATAGTGGTAGTAAATTTAACCACGTAAACTGGTCAAAGAGACATAATAATGGTCTCCTTTCAAAACATCAATTTGAAATCATAAACTCTATTAACACGATCTTGAAGTTGAAAATATGTACGATAGTATATACGCTGAACAGCTAACAAAACCACACATACACAAATCATGAAACAGCTACAAATTATCATCGGATGCGGCATATGCAGAAATATCTGTAATTTAGATTGCATCATACCAGAAGAAAGGATTTTCTTGATGTCACCGGCGGAAGGGCTGGCTTTTCCTCCGAGCACAGCTAACAAGTATGCGGCGATGAACTTCATGTCTCTTTTCCTCTATTATAGTTTCATAAAAGAGAATCGTCAGAAGACAAATCCTAAATGTCTTAAAATGTTTCAAATGAATACACCCCCTCAAACTCGTTTATTTGCGTACCTAAATCTTAACTGAGAAACTCAATCCTTATATCAAATACTTATACTGCTTTGTGAGCAAGGACGAGGATTAAGATACTGTAGTGATATTACACTAAATAACTCAAGTACAAAGTATGAAGTAAGAATGTGTAGTAAGTAGTAAGAAATCTAAGAATAGGGTTATCGATTTTTTAGTAAAAAGTAATGAACACCATGTTACTTAGTAGATTTTACATTTTTACATAATATTCAATGACATCACACACCAACAATGATTGCAGTGATACTTTTAATTTGAAGATGCAGATATCAACCAAGCGTGAAACTAAACGTACACTATATGGAATTAGTTTAACTTAAGGAAGAAAATACAACTCTAAGATAAAGTTGTAGGGGTGTTTTGGTTTATTTAGAGTAAAATGCATAAATGGTCGTTGAACTATCATCACCATATCATTTTGGTCCTCGAACTATTAAATCTAACATTTTAGTCCTTAATCTATTATTCTATTTCATCAAAAAAAAATTTACTGCGGGGCGGGGGGGGGGGGGGGTCTGGGGGAGGGGGTCTGGGGGCCCTGGAGTAATCTGGGCTAAAACTCATTCCATTGAGTTTCGAACCCTTATATGCCTAGCGGGTTTCGAACTCAAGACCTCCCACTAGGCACGGTAACCTCACAACCAGCTGGGCTGGAATGCTTGGTTGTCTATTTCATCTATATTAATCGAGTTTTTCTGTTAAAATTTTTAATTAAGATTAATTGCTAAGTAATATATTAACATCTCATAGTTTTAAACATTTTAGAACAATACAGTCATTCTTAAAATTTATGTAGCTAATCTAATTTTTTATAATATACAAATATATTAACATACACGTATAAAAATTATAAATAATTAAATAAATAAATAATATAAAACCAAAAGTATGACTTAAATAATATATGTCCTCAGTCCCGCTAAAATTGTCTCATATTTCCTTTTTGATCCGTCCGACTATGATTATTCATACCAAATTTGATAAAATTTGTGTGATTCTATCATTTTTGCTCTATAAAGACGGCGGCGACGCATGTGGATGGCCACGGCGACGCGGGAGGCATGTGCCGCAGCGATGGGAGCAGAGGGTGTCACGGAGATGGGGGCGGCAGGTTAATGGCTATGGTTTTTTAGAAAATGAATAGGAAGTTAGAATTTTATACTCCGTAGTATCAATCTAAGAGTATATTCTGCTAAAAATTTTATACTCCGTATTTATTTATTTATTTATTTATTTATTTATTAATTTATTTATTTATTTATTTATTTATTTATTTATTTATTTATTTATTTATTTATTTATTTATTTATTTATTTATTTATTTATTTATTTATTTATTTATTTATTTATTTATTTATTTATTTATTTATTTATTTATTTATTTATTTATTTATTTATTTATTTATTTATTTATTTATTTATTTATTTCCCATCATTTGCAATGGAGCCAAAGATTCACTATTTTTTGGCTTGAAAATATGATGGAATAAAGCAAAATGCTCACTAAACTGTTTGTGCTTCTTTGTTATGAACCACCAGTCAGTCTATACAGTCTCTTTGGGCTTTAGTACATGGGTAAGACCAGTGTTTTAAATAGCGGTCCGCTACCGCTATAGCGGCCGCTATATAGCGGTCGCGGTAGGTACCGCTACAGCTACGGGCCGCTATCAAGGTGTGATTTTCAAATCACACAAAAATCCCGCTACGCCGCCCGCTACAGCCCGCTACTGGCACTTCCGGCAGTACATCACGAACTGGTTGATGTGTAAATGTGTAAATGTTGTGTGCATGATGTGAAAAAATACATTAATGGTGATGCATTAATTGTTCTAAACTTCTAATTATCATTCTCTTTTAATTGTCGTATTCTTATTGATTGATTAGTTGTTAATGTTATAAGTGTTCAAACAAATATTCATAATGTTTCTATTAACTTTAACACCCATTAAAGATATGTTTTGCGCATTTAAAAATATTTCACGCCACTGCAACCACTACATGAGGCTACATGCCGCTACCGAGATGACCGCTGCCGCTGCCGCTACCGCTGTCGCTACGGCTATTTAAAACACTGGGTAAGACCGCGTACATCCGACCTCCCCTTACCCTACCGTAGGTGGGAGCCTTTGTGGCACTGGGGTCTGGGGTAATGATAATGATGATTTATTTATTTATTTATTTATTTATTTATTAAATATTACAATTTAAATATGGAGTATTGTTTTGGGAAAAAAAAACTAATGACGTCATGCATTGGGAAAGTGGATGAGTTGTAGTCATACCTAGAATAATTTTTTCTTAATATAATTAATAATAATAACAACCATACATTTGATTTTATATTATTTATTTATAATTTTTATATGTGTATGTGTACCGTGTACGTATATGTATATTTAAAAAAAGTATATTAGCTACTTAAATTTTAAGAATGATTGTAATATTGTTCCCAAAATGTTTAAAACTATGAGATTGTTAATAAATTAATTAGCTACCGTCAAAGTTAACGGTAAATTTTAATGCAAGGATTCAATTAATACAGATGAAATAGATTAAGGACTAAAATGATAGATTTAATAGTTGAAGGACCAAAATGATACTCCGTATGATGATGATAGTTCAAGGAGTATTTATGCATTTTACTCAATTTATTTGTAAAGTATAATAGGTGCAACATGATTAAAATAATTACTCCATAGATAACAGCTACTAAGATATATCTCAAACTTCCTCCACGCACCCCTAATTTAACATTTAGGGTTTACTTACACAGGATTTGTTATCATCTTTTAAGCAGTTGTTCCCTTTCTTTTAGACATAATTTTGGTTTAAATCCCTCCAATCAAGTTGAAAGCTATGTCAAGAACATGGTAGCAATTAGCAGACGAGTTCAATAAGGCTATAATTAGCGAATTTGCATAAACTGCGCGCTTACCAGAGAAGAGTGGCGACGAGGAGAAGATGAACGAAACAAGGCAGAAGGAACGCCGCACCGCTGGGCCTTCACAGTGCCTAACCTAAGACGGAGTGATAGCTTTCAACTAGCTAATAACTTACTCCGTAACATGTTAGTTATTGGGCTGATTAGTTTATAGTTGGGCTGGGTATTAGTTTATGTTTGGATAATTCTGTTCACAATTCTTAATTTATTAATCACAGCCACCAAATTAAAAAATAATTAATAAAAATAATGTTGATACCTAATTTACTCATACGGCTACTCCGTTAACGCTTTCAAGCTATATACTTCATTTTTTGAGAAAAGAGGCAAACAAGCCCTCCAATGATTTGCAATTCTGCAATCAAGCCCCTGAATTTGAAGAGTTGCAGATCCACCCTCAATTCATTGAAAATGATGGAATCAGATCCTTTTTTACCTGTTGGTGGGGGGGGGGGGGGGGGGGGGGGTAAGAAGATGAAATATTACCAGCATCAGCAGGTAAAAAGGACCTGATTGCATCATTTTCAATGAGTTGAGAACTGTATCTGCAATTTTTCAAGTTCATGAGCGTGATTGACGAATTGCAAATAGTTCGAGGGCGTATTTGACGCTTTCCTCTTTGTCCTTTTATCTTGGATATTTCTGCAGAGTATGAACTTCCTGTAGAAGGGCTTCCCTATTCATCGTATACTTAGATACATACATATAGAGGAGTGTTGGTAGAGCTGAGCCGGGCTCATGTCTGGGGGATCAGACCTGGGAGATGTATGCTCTGTTTCGGAGTTCTTCAACAACTTCGCCCAAGGCCTCATCCCCAATTCAGGCTCTTTATATCCAACCGCTAGCCTCTCCAAATCAACAAGTCCCAGTGTGATGACAACCAACAGGTCCCTTCCCCCTGTGGAAAACATTGCAGCATTACCCACAACTCTAAAATGGCAACTTTCTTACCAAATCAGTGAAATCACAAATGAGCAATTCAAAATTATACCTTCTTCTTGCAAAAAAAAAAAATTATACCTTCTTTTAATTTGATTTGATATTCGCAATGATCTGGAAATGTTTGGCTAAACTCCGTGGAGAAGATGACCTGCAGCGAGGCTAATATGCTATTGAAGGTTACCGGCGCTTTAGGCTTGAGGATTTAATAAAATGGAGGTTGTGAATATAATTTCCCTTTATGTTTGTGGACTGAATAATAATAGGAAAATTCTATTTGCATGGCTAAACACAACCCCCAAATGAATAAACAATACAAACTTTGTATTATACCATCCTAATTTACCCTTTGGCAGCATTATATTCAAGTAACCCTTGATCTCATTCATGCACAGGGGCGGACCGTAGTAGAGACCCAGGGGCAGTCGCCCCTCCAACAATTTTTTTTAGTGTATATATATACCAAAAAATAATTTTCGCCCTCCCAAAAAATATTTTTTTAAGTTACCGCCCTCCCAAGATAAACTTCCTGGGTCCGCCCCTGTTCATGCAAGATTATCTCGTGCAGAGCATCCCCACACTCGGCTGAATCGGTTTCCCACTGAAGAATCAACGGTTCGCGGCGATGGAGCAAAAATATCTCCGACTCTCTTCCTGAAATGGAAGAAGCACTATTTGAATTCAATGACGAACAGAAACCAGAGAGAAACAATCCATTTCATCACATCCAATCCATTGTACATTTGATTTGAAACTAGGTCTAGTTGATTAAGATTAGGAATATATCCAACCGCTCTAAAACCGTCCCGGAGTTCATTCTCCGGGAACTCTTTTTGAATTCTTCCAGCATCTACTTTATGTTTAGAATCTCGTTCGAAATAGTATAAAGGCATTTCCTATTTAATATTGCAACTTGGGCAAGTATTTTACAGTTAAGAAGTTACGGATCCTTTGAAGCGTGCCGGCCTCAACCGACTTCACTGTTGAATGCAGTGACTGGAACATCACAAAGATGTCGACGTGACGGAACGCATCCACCATATTAAACTGGAATATCCAGAAATACCAGCCAATGAACACCATGATGAATCTTGTGATAAGCTGCAGATGGTGAGGGTAATTAAAGTCACACACTTTCTTGTGAATTCTCTTAATCAGTAATCTTCTAATCGATGTTTTTTTTTGGAAGTTGATGTTGATTAATTTTTTATTCCAATCAATTGTTTGGACTTTGAAACTTTGGAATTCATCTATTTTTTGTAAATCTACACTTCATCTACTTCATCTCAATTCAAGATGAACAAATGGAAGGAGGTGTGCCTGTATTAATTTAAGTCGTGCATGAACAACAGGTATACACAAATATATCCATTTACGTTTAATATGGTGGCTTTGAGTAGTAAAAGTTGGGCTGCAAATAGAATTCCCTATAATAATATAATCATAATAATGAGGATGATTATAAAATGGGTTATGAGAATGTTAATATATTTGTCACTCATAGTTAGTTTTCAATATATTCTTAATTAAGTAATATAAATTAGATATTATAAAATGGACTTTATAATATGATTGGCCGGTTGATAAATCAAAATTAATAAAATAGCTGAAGGAAAATGGATGATTTTAAATAGATTCATACCTTGATTATTATGGGGTATTATAGACATTAATTATTATTAAAATAATTTAATCATAAGAGGTGAAATTTGTAAATAAAGGGTAGAGGGTTTAGATTATAGTTAGATAAGATATTAATTTTTGGAATTTTAACTAGAAGGTGAGCAAGGTAGAAGATGTTACTAGGAGTACTTCGAGTTTGAGGTAAGTTCGATGTCAATAAAATCTATATCCCCCTATATAATTTAGAACTAAGTTAATATGTGATATGTGTTGTGAAACTAATAAATGTGTATTTCTACTTTGGGAAAATTTAGATTTTCGGTTGTTAAATTCTTAAATTTGAGGATGAAATGATTTTGGGAAAAATGTTTATTTTACGAATTATATTTGACCTTGTAAATCCATGTGTGATTATTATTTAAAATTATTTGAGTATGTGATATCAAATGAAATTAAGAGTATTTTGAAATTATGTACGAATTATGATGGAAATGTTTATTTGGGACTTGAGAAGTATTTTGAACTATTTATAGAATATTTTACATTTTGAGCTAATTTGAAAAACTTTGACTTTAACCTTCAAGGGATAAGATATTCTTGTTTTGGAAATTATACATGTGTATAATATATCATTAGGTCCCATAGATTTTGATGATTAATATGTATTGTTTTGATGATGTCACCCCTTTTTATTATCCCTGTATTAGACTAGATTCTCTTGTACTTGTTCCATTTTGTTTATTGTAATGTGCTATCATTAGTGATATAGTACTCATGAAAAGCAAAAAGTACTAAAAAGAGAAGAAACATACCATATAACAAAAAGAAAAGAATAAAAAAGGAAAAGTACGAAAAAGAGTTAACTGGTATTCATTGAAAAGGAACCTAACTGAAAAACAAAGAATTCGGCAGCCAGTTGAAAACCTGGCAGCCGGCTGAAATCCTTGTTTTCCAGTCAAGGCATCTGAAATCAAAACTCACTCTTCTCTTAGCACAAAACAATTAAACAAAGGATCAACGTACTTGCAGTCAAAATAACAAAATTGATAGAAAGTAAATTTGTAAGAAATTTTTATCACATTATAAAGTTCTTATGAATACATTTTACTCAAAGCAAGTATCTGTTATTTGTAAGGAAGCATTGAAACATCATTCAACTTTTATACTAAATTTCTACGCACAAAAGAAATAAAGATAATTCATCTTTATCTCTGCATTGAAATGAGGAAACAAGTTGAAGTGAAGATATTGATCCGTGTCACAAGAAGAGAAATACCAACCATGCTGTCCTCAGTCAAGTGGAACAATGCAAGTAGATCAAGCAACGGTCAAGATTGATTTTCTCAGCCAAAGATGAGGATTCATTGATCAGTCTATAAATACAGAAGGAGTGTGGGAAGACCAAGTGTGGTAAACCGAGAGGAGCCAAGTGGAATAGAAGGGAATCAAGTTTTACATGCTCACATCCAGCCAGCTAATTCTCCTTCACTACTTCGGCTACCAACCCACTCATCTAATGCTCTTAGATTAGCTACAATTCATACAAACCTATAGAGCTTAGACTAGTTGGTAGTTTAGATTTACACTCATGTAAACTAGACTAGTGTTAGATATTTTGGAGGGCTTTGTGTTCACATCCAGAAGGTGAGAAAGGGGCAAGGCCATGAGTAACTCTTGGCAATGCCATTAGTGAAAAACCTTGGGAGGACTGAGTAGCTTGGAATGGTGTTGAAATTTATTGTGAAAAACCTCACAATCTACGTCTGGGCCAAGGGTAGATTGTGCATAAATGTAATGGGATATTCATTTAGTGGAAATCCATCTGAAATAGGTTAAGACTGGATGTAGGAGGATTACACCACCTCTGAACCATGATATATCCTATGTCACCTTTTATATTCTGCTCCCAACAAACACTTCAGTTCTCACTCACCTTCACAACTTCACAGCAAAACAACTTGGTCACTAAAAACTGTCCAGTGAACCCCCTAGGTCATTGTGAATCAACTCTTTGTTTCTACTCATCAAACTGATCTATTAGAATAGGTCTATATCCTTCATACCTATATGTTTTGTCTATCCTAAACAGCCAAACAATGCTCAAGGTCATAGTTCTTCTCTATGCCTCAAACATTGATAAAGCAGCAAAAATCAGCAGCCTCCTCCTGAGGGGTTCAACAGCCAGCTCACAGAAATCTGGTAGCCTGACCATTAAGGATTCAACAACCTACTCCTTGAGCCAGCTGATCTTGGCAAACACATTTGCATTCTGTTTAACCCATCTCCCTCACAACTAAAAGGGTCATAACCTTTGTTTCTATAAAGTGTCACACTCTTGAGGTCAAGACTTTTTTTTGAATCCCGGAGAGGCCACCTGTGGTGGGGAAAGTGCCGGGGAACACTTTCCAATTTTATTAAAATATTAAAATTCAAAACTAGAGTTCAAAGTGAAAAGTACATGAGAAATCCCAAAGCGAAGAGTTAACAATTAAAATTTGTGGGCACCCCGACAATTGTTGAAAGCGTCCGATTAAATTTATTGTGAAATTGGATGGCCCTTTGAAGATCAGGAGGGTACGTCTTTGCATCCGGGTGTAATGACTTGTAACGCTTGAGCCTCGTTACCAGCTTGTGGGACGAGTCATAG